AAGTAAAATTCATTATTTTGTTTTCTCGCATACGCTGCATAAAGGCAGCATTTCCAGAATGCATACATCTAAATTCACTAAACATGCACTGTGCAGCCCACACAAGCAGATGTATAAAAAAAAAAGTGCCTCATGCAGGGGTGCAACAGCTAAAATACAATTTGGAGCAATTGGAGCACTAAAATCCAAATTTGGAGCAGGTTACAGGGAAAATATACACTTCTTTATCATGAAATATCAAACTTGGAGCACAACAAACAAGAAGGCTTACATTTAGAAAAAAAATGTGTATAAATCATTCAACATCATTTAAACTGTGCAGTGTGAACATGAACACTGCTATTTCAATGAGAGTAGTATTTTAGACCACCCCGCTGAGCAAACAGTGATGAAGTGCATATTAGCATTTGCTGTGCTTGTCAAATCATTTGACAGACTTTGCGAATTTAAACATGGATGTGCCCAGCTCGCGACCTTAAAATATGGGAGATTTGTAAAACCGAGAAGTAGGGGTGGCAAAAAAAAAAAACAAACTGATGTACAATTTAATTTTTATTTTAGGGAAGCAGAAATGTCATATACTGCTTCAAATGATTGACAGTAGCTTATTTATACATCAGTTATTATACTGTTACTCATAATTATGTGGCATACAAATGCATGAGTAACCTAGCAAAATGTGCAGTGCCCCGTCAATAGCACTAACAGCCCCTTCCAAATCTCAGTACGCTTTTTCACTGGGCACCAGTGTACTGTGGCAAAGGTGGCTTAAGCAGCATTCTCTGCACGAGTTAGAACTAAAGCCAAGAAATTTTCTAACCGCTACACCTCTCCCTCACCTTCCACCTTTTTTCTTCATTCACTGGGGGGTCAGGCTGCCTTGCAAAGCGCATTTGATCAAGCAAAATAACAATAGTGCGTATCTGTTGGCCAGACGACAGCACCAGATATTTATCGCCAAGACCATGGCTGCGACGATGCAACTTCAACAATGCATCTGACATAAATTGAAATGAATTCTAGTTGAACCATGTTAGTAACTGACTTTTAGTGACCCATGCATTATGATGCTGATTACATGTGTATATTAATGTTTTATTTCCAGTCTACGGTAGTTGTTTTTTTTTTCTGCTTGCTTGTTTCCTTTTTTAGAGATGTTTTTCCACCCTTTCTTCGTCTTTTCTTCCTTTTTCAGCATTTGTGTGACTACGAGTCCCTCATATATTGTTTGCCCCCGTTATGTATAGCCTTCAGGCCCTTAAGGCATCAATAAATGAAATGAAATGAAAAAAACAAAACTTAACAAAAAAAAAAAACGTTTTGTTTGCCACTGCTAAGGCAATCAACGTGGTCGCTGGCAACGTTGGCGTTCACAGCACGTCGAGCTTGTTCGTGCGAGAAAAACGCAGCATACGCTTCGAGTTTTAGTTCTTAACAAGCCGTAGCCGCATTTTCAAGCTAGGAAATTTACACTTTCCGTGAAGCGTTGGTGGCTACTGCTAAAGCCCCTATACTTCGTAAAAGTACCACCACCTGCTCTTCCCCTCGCCGCCTCCTCTCCAGCGCTTTGCTTTTTTTCTTTCACTTGCGACAGTGGTGCTCCCTGTACCACGCCACGAGCTGGCTTCAGCAGGGAGAGGAGGAAGCGGCAGATAAATAGGACGCTATACTTTTCCTTTGTAAACGTATTGTGATCTGCTTTCACCCTCGCCGCCTCCTATACAGCGCGTTCGTTTTTTCTTTCACTTTCGGCAGTGGCCCGCCAGTAACGCGCCACGAGCTTGCTCCAGCGGGAAGAGGAGGATTGCGCCACGAGCTTGCTCCAGCGGGGAAAGGAGGAAGCGGCGCAGATCAAAAGAATGCTGTACTTTTCCGAAGGTGTAGGGGCTTTAGCTACAGCAGCACATTTTTGTCTTGAAGTTTCGTCGTCCCGCCTATAGGTGTCCTATGCAATCAACGAACTAATGGGCAGGCAGCGTTGTTACTTTATCTGCTCATATTTTAGGTACATTCTAGGCACTATAGTTGGGGTCTGCGAGCTTTGATTGAAGGGGCAATCTGCAGGTGGCCGAAGTGGCCTGCAGTTCTCGCCGAAATTAGTGCACCTGAAAAAAGTTTAAATGGCCAGTAAACAGGCTCCAACTTTTTTTACACCCCCCATAGAAGCTCGGCAATTCGTAGATTAGACTGCAGCGATCACATTTTCTGAATATTACAGCGGTGCGCGCCGCGCAGAGCCTCTATTTCGAAAAACAATTCCCGCACATCTTTCCTACGCCTGACCGACCCCCTAGCACGTGCAGTGACATCAACTCGGCGATCGGCAACGTGACGTAGCACGCAGCTCGCCGATTGGTCTAAATCAGGTGTGAAAAAACAGTAGTGCAGTCAACATCAGTTCCTGTTCACACCCACAGCTACGAAACTGCCCCTTGTTTCTTGGCACTGTGGTGAAAGAACCAGCCTCGCAGTTGTCGCGTGCATGTGCACACTTCTCGCTCAACTACAGCGCTTGTGCGCACATACAAACGTACTTCGCCCTTGACATGAGCAACACGGGTAAAAAGCGTTGCTCTGTCGTCGGCTGCAAATCGAGCGACTGGGCAGCGGAGAAGCATCGGCGCCGAGTGCCTCACGATGGGGCCCTACGCGCTGCATGGCTGAAGCGAATCGGCCATCCAGCGATGTACATCGGGGACCTGATTGTTTGTGGTCGACACTTCATACCTGACGCTTACATGGTTGGCCCGCGGCTGGTGCGGCAAACGGTAAACAAACAACCACGCTTCGCAGCAAGCGGAAGTTCCTTGCGACTGATCGAGTTATCTGATGACGTCAATCGCTGACGTGGTGTCACGTTGCCGAAGTAGGCGGAGTCACGACGATGGGCTATGCCTTCCCCTTCATGAAAGGAAGAAGGGGGGCAAAGCCACGCGAAAATCTGAAACCAGCTTAGACCTATGTTCTAACCCCTGTAACTTCGTTAATATAGCATGTATTCGCAAAAATCTTGCGGCAGCATGTTCGCAAAGAAAAACTGCACATATATCTCTTTTTAAAAATTTTTAGACCTCAGAGCTGTTTACTGGCTCTTCAAGGCTGGCTAGGCATTTTCGCACAGCTTAGACCAACAATCCGAAATTGTATCAAATCGGCGCAATTGGCACAGCTGCTGCACCCTTGCGCACAGACACACACACAAAAATTCGCCCCGGAGTTGCATGTTACACTGCAAATGTTGTCGAAAGACGATAGTCTTGCACCTGGAGAAAGTGAACAAAATGTTTATTTGATGTTCTGCGCAAGAAAATCTGTGAATGGTATTCTGGAGGCGCTGCGTTAGAGTGCCTCGAGCACGCAGCGGAGGCGAACGAGCGCATCAGGTCACGTCACACGCGAGACACGAGCGCTATCTGGCAGTTATCCTAGAAAACGGGGCGCGTGCCGTGCGTGCCCATCTAAGGTACAAACGCAAGGCGACAGGTAGGTGCCACTACAGTGTCGTCTAAGCAAAGCGTTGCAAACACTTGCCACTTCGTGCAAGTGTTGCATTGCCAGCGGAGCGTTATAAAGGCTACGTTCCTTATTATTACTGATGTATGCGTTTTCTAGTGAAAAATACACATACATATTATTGACGTGTTATTATGATGCCTCAAATATGCACAATAATTGCTTTTTAATTGACAAGCGCACAAGTATGAATGCTGTACCTTGAGCAATATTGGTGGGCGCTGCGGATGGGGTCGGCCGTTTGGAGCTTCGTTTGGTCACATCGATGCCGATTAGGGTACGGTTAAAATTAGACAGACAAATGTACAGACAGACAGACCAATTTTTGCGTCAAAGCTCCCCGAGAATGACAATCGTCTTTAAAAGTAATAATACGATGACATCTACGGCCCAGTGGTGCCAAGCCTGAAAGAATTGTGGAGTTGGGCAGCGTTCTTTCTTTTTCTCTTTTTGTTTCTTGCCCTTTACTTACTTTCTTGTTTTCTCATCCAGGTTTTTCTGTTTTTAATTTTATTTCTTTATATTTTTCTTTCTATTTATTTGTCTTTCTCTTTATATTTTGCCTTGTTTTCTATTTAAGTTTTTATACGTGATTTGTGTTGCTGTGTTTCTTTAGCCATAGTAGTAACATCTGCACTACATACTTGATAAATAATAACGCCGGCACTTTCTTTTCTTCTTAGCAGCGTTTTTCTTACACTTTTTTTTTTGCCAATAGTTGTTGCCAAGATTAGAGTATAATTTTAATGCATTTAGTGTATTAACTTCTCTTAGTTATGCGGCAGTTTAGCTGTGTTTCATTAGGGAGAGATCACATTTTATTTAGTCTTGTTTCTTGTACAACACAGCATGTTCTGTTTCATTGTTTTCTTTTTATTTTTCATCTGTTGCAATTTGCTCTTCTATGTAATGCTTTGGCAATTGAAGGTAAAAAAAAAGTCAACATCAAGGCATTCAAAGAACAAAAGGAAGAAGAGGGTGGCTGGTTCATAGTGCACTCCGTCCTATCTGACTTCTGTTCTGAAACGGTCTGTGCACAAAGAAAGTACATTCTTTTTATAAGAAGACTTTTCTTCAGCACAAGCGCTTACTCTATATGCTAGAGCTGGCTATGCTGCATGTTCTTTTGCATGTGTTATGCCAAGCGACGACGACAGCACACCAACAGCTGGGCCCCTGAAACGCTTCAGACTAAGAAGTTGAGGACAATGCACTGGAATGAAATGTGATGACATTACAAAATGTAAAACAGCAGCATGGGCCACACAACAAGTAGGAGTCATGGATATTGTTCGTCACATTTAGAGAAAAGGCAGGTCGCAAAATGCACTAACAAACATTGGCCAGTTAGAGCAACAGAATGAATACCAAGGGACGGGAAATGTAGGCAAACATAAAATAAAATCAGTTCACACAAGACAAGGTGAGTTAAAGGTCATTGGGAGGGGCATTCATCGTGCATCTGAAATAAGACACGGCATACATACATGGTTGCCAGGCTCTGGCCTGACTTGGGGTCCCACAGCTTGATAGGCTGCTGGCTGTCCTTGCTGCCGGAAACAATAAGTGACTTCTGTGGGTGCCAATCGACGCACTTGACATCCGCACCATGCCCTGCAACAAAAACAGACTCCTTTGTCACTGATATCTGATACTTCTGTCATGGGAATGAAGTTGGAAAACAGGACAAGGCACACTGTCTCTTTTCAGTGGAGCATTTTGCGCCCCGGAAGCAAAGCAGCAATCTGGGGCAGTCTAATCGGGAGCATTCGTGTAGGTGAACACCAAACCAAAACCCACTACGGCTATATAAGCGTGCAAACTTGAGTGTGTTGGTAGAGATTCACTGTGAAACACAGCCTGCGACATCAACGATTAGGAAGACCAAACAGCCCTAGTGCTAATTACCCACAACTAGCAGTCTGTACAAAAATATACGAAGGGGAAGACAGGAAGATCTTCCTAGCATAAGCACACATTTCTCATAATAGAGTGGAATGCTCAACTACAGTGATAGTTAACCTCTTCATCTGTTGGTGTGAGCTGATTGCCTGCAACATGGATGACTAATCTTTCACGTATTTAACAAGTGTGGTCATCTCGGTAGCGGTGCATGATGCACAACTGATGGAAGTTTGGGGCGCAATAACATTTACCCAAATTGCTAGCGTTTCTAACATTGCTAGAATAGGGCCTCAAGCACAAGTCCTGTCTGGCTTTTCTTGTCCTCATTGTATTGAGCTGTTCCAGCAGTTCTCATGTCGGTTCAGATATTGTATCCATGCAACACCCCACCATGAAAGCAATCAAGATGTTAACAAAGATGCACATCAAGCACAACAGCCATGCGATATTAAGAGGGATACATTTCAGCAAAAGTGATTGATTGCTTGACATGTGGGGTTTAACGTCCCAAAACCACCATATGATTATGAGAGACGCCATAGTGAGGGGCTCCGAAAATTTTGACCACCTGGGTTTTTTAGAGTGCGCCCAAATCTGAGCACAAGGGCCTACAACATTTCCGCTTCCATCGGAAATGCAGCCGCTGCAGCCGAGATTCGATCCCGCGACCTGCGGTTCAGCAGCCGAGTACCTTAGCCACTAGACCACCGCAACGGGGCGGGGCGTTCAGCAAAAGTGGTCACTGACCACAAGTAAAACATTACACAGATAGCAATCAGATTGCCAAGTCACATTAGCTGTGGATATGCAGTGGCAGCTTTGCTGTGGAAACCTGCCGCTGCAAATTCCACAGTCACTTATCTTTAGCCTACGACTACTGTTATTAATGAACCCAAAACAATATCGTCAATTTTTGCACAAATTTGAACTGGTGGTGCACAAGTCTTTTAGGAGACCAATTTAATGAAGCGTCAAGTGTATAAGCTTTACTCTTTTATTACCAAAAAAAAAAACTACTTATCCTATGCGAAAAAGCTTTTTCTAGTCTGAAAAGTACTACAGCACCCATTGCAGCATACCAAATCATGCACAATAAAATGCTCTCAGTAAAACAAAACAAAAAGAAGAGTTGTCGAGCAACAAAAATATTAGGGAATGTATAGAATGTAAAGCGCACAATTTTTGGGTGCCAGCTGGAAAACAGAGTGACAAACAACACTAAACATACAAAACTTTCAAGATAGAGAAAATTCAGAATATACATATTAAAGAAAAAGGAATGGTATAAAAATATTAAATGTTCTACATGACATTTGTATTAGCATAAACAAAGAAAATGTGAACCACGGTGTTGTTCCAGTGCTCCTGCTACGCGGTGAAGTATTTTTTGGTTTTCGTGTGACACAGGTTTACTTGTGCACTTTTCAGATGTTTTTGTTTGTTTATTCTACAAGATCCTGCTGGTGTTTAGTATGGATGGATACCTTTGATGAGAACAATGTCTTCATAAATCAGGTGTCCAATGAACTCAGCAGTTTCTCTGGCATCACCCTGAACCACCTCCCTCAGCATAGGTTGGCGTTCCAAAATATCCATCCAAGCAGATAGTACTAAAATAAAAAGGAACAAACTCGCGCACAGTCCTAAAATGTCATGTGCCACTCTTTAGTGTGGGGCGGAGATATGCTCTGGTTGCCTTTTGGTCGTGAGGAGAAGCTCTGCAACCTGCGCCAGCACATCACACCCCAGCGACATCTGGGCCTCGCATGTAAACTCTAAGATTGCGCATAAAAGTCAGCAGCTAAGCACATGCAGTGAAAGAGACCGGTTGAGGTCATAAATAAAAACAACCCCCTGAATGAATGTCCCCAGGTGACGCAATACATCCATCGTCATGAGAATTTAAAGCTGAGGTGCTGTCATCTTCGGACTCAAAGCTCACTGTCACTCTATTCAGGTGCAGTTGCAAGATAGTTTGTCATGGCGCATGTCACTCGCGGCGCTGGTGCGCACGCTGCTGCCATAGAAGCGACACTGTATCTGATAAAACAACACAACACTAGCTGAAACACGCAAGCTGAAAAGGCCCCTTCCACACGTAATGCCTGCAGTAGACCTATGGGAATAGTTTTGAGAGAAAAATCTTCCCAAAGCCCGAACAGCTCTCTAATGAACAGCTGGCATAAATTACAGGAAATTACTATCACTCAATGCTGTCAGACAGCAAGGCCGATGCCATAACTTGGTATTTGACTAGCAAACCTTCTTTTAACTACAGAACTTCGATGTTACTGCAGCATAACCATGCACGAGATGCAATTCTTTTAAGCTTGTCAGTCAAGTGCGTATTTTAAGTAACACGCACTCCTTGGTTTGTGCAAAGGTCTGTCAAGAAACACTGTGTTGCAAAAACGGGCAAATTAAAACTGATTACAAAAGTTCAGGGGCTGGATAACTAGGAAGCACTTTCTTAACAATAGAAAAAAATTGAACATGCCAAAATTGACGATTCAAAGCATGGGTCACTGGTGATCGATTTGAATAGATATGGTAACGAAATAGTAAATATGCAACTTTAAAATATAGAACACAAATGCTGTGTTATACGATTTTACGTCATTTGGTGGTTTTTTAAACAGTTACTTGAGGTTGCAATTCTCGACATGGATATGAGCTTCTACTTTCCTAAAATGCAGTATTCTGAACTTTCAAGTCGTTTGATAGTGTTTCGAGACAATTAGATGTGATGTCAGTTCTGGAAAAAGAAAAAGCTTGTATTTTTACAAAACGTGACACTCTGAAATTACATGTCGTTTGCTGGTGCTTCGAGACACTTGGAGTTGTCAATTCTGGACAAACACAAAAGCTTCTAGCCTTATGAAACACTGTATTATGCGATATGACGTCATTTGGCAGAGTTCCTTCACGACAATTGAAAGACATTGCAATTTAGGGTAAGATCAGGTTTTATTTTATTTATCGTGAATACATTGATAGGCTAACGACAAAAGCTGCATACAAGCAGCTTGACAGGCCCGTCAGCCCAATTCAAACGTCAGCAGCAGACGGCAGATATGCATGCTGTAGAAATTTACAGTAATAAACACAACACACCAAAGTATCGCAATTCTATTGCGATAACAAAAATATGCAAGCAAAAAATATATGCACTCTAACAACTAAACAGAGAAACGATGTTGTATTCGAAAAACATGGGAACGCTACAAACAAGAAAAAGAGAAACGACGAGGCAATACTGAAACATACAAAAGTGCAAATAGTGTCAATTTACAAAAAAAAAAAAGATGCACCGGTAAAAGAAAGACTGATAATAAAAAGTATACATATGAGCTACTGCACACAACAGAACAGGAATAAGCGCTTCAAAAAAAAAAAAAATGGTTACACCAATCAGGGTATCACCCACACTGAGATGCATATGCACTAAAATGTTACACATAGGAAAACCAACGGCTAGTAATTGAAGGCCCGAAAAATTGGATGCATAATGCATTAAAACGGTACACACAGGAAAAAGTAATGTTTGTTGTTGAAGGCGCGAAAAATTTGAGTAGCAAAGAGAAGGAGTAAAAAGAAGGTCTGTAACGAAGGTCCGCAAGGCAGAATCGATACACTTGGCGATAACAAAATGGGCGACGTCAAAAAAAAAAAAAAAAAACCTTACCAGGATGACGCCATCAATTCTAGACAAACTTAAGCTTCGAGCTTTGCAAATGCTATATTCTCTGATTTCCCATCGTGCCAGAGTGTTTCCAAACGGTTGCATGATTTGCCATTCAGGGCAAAACGATACGAGTGTCTAGCTTAATGAAACGGTGTATTCTACGATTTCACATAATCTTATTGTGCATAACATTACAATTACGGCCAAAGATATGTTTCTAGCCTTATAAAAGACTTCATTCTGCAATTTCACGCCATTTGGTGGTGTTTTGAGATCATTGAATGACGTTACAATTCTAGACAGATATATAAGCTTCTAGCAAGTCAAAACGCTTTATTGTACAATTTCACACCGTTTTGTGGTGCTTAAAGACAATTGGATGATGATGCGATTTTAGACAAAGATGTACATGTATATATAAGCTCCTAGATTTAGGAAATTGAATTTTTTAATTTCGTGTCGTTTGGTAGCGTTTCACTGCGATTGCACAAAATTGCTCTGGATACTTTTTATGGCAAAATATTAACTACACTTTGAGATCACGTGTTCAATGAAAGTGATGCTAAGAAAGCTTGTGCAATATTTCTTGAACTGTTTTGCAGCATTCATAACACACATTACGCTTAAGAAGAAATCAAAGTCGAAGAAGAAAGCCTTGGATAACATGAGAGCTGCATACTTGCAAAAGATGTAACCATGAAGTTTTTCATACCTATATTACCTCTAAAGTAATACATTTTTTTGAAAAGTTTAAGAGCTACACAAACGAGTTAAACAGTGACATACAATACACAAGAAAGTATTATGAACATCAATTCACACTTTCAACATTCCAGATAAAACCATGGGCAAAAATACGGTCTGTTTTCATGAACTTTGTTTAAGACAAACATTTTGATAAAGTCAACACCATGTTTACACACGTGAACAGTTGGCAGAGGGTTTAAGCCCACCTTCTGCTAAACAGAGCTCCACACCATCTTACTCTCATGGCACACATATTACCAGATGCTCGTAATCCCTT